TATATATATATGTATGTATGCATAGAAAATTAACACTTAAATAATCAGGCAAAATAAAATCAAAAGAAAGGAATGGATTAAAAATAGCAAATCCAAAGTGTATAGCAGAGATGGCTGGTATAGTTATTAAAAACTTTACTTACAATAAAGTACAAAAACAAGACTAGTGATCCATTCTGCACAGACCAAAAACACCAAAAAACTACAGAAAACAGCCACGGGAAAGAAGACAACATCAACACCAATTCCATCGATAACCAACAACTTATCTTTCCAGGTAATACTGAAAACATCTATTTCCCCGAAACACATCAAAACAGTATTTAAAAAAATGTTTTCAAAGAATTCTCACACAAAACCACCAACATAATTTCACAGAAAAGAAAGCTAAAAACAACCTTACCCAGAAAGATATTAATTCTATAAACAACCTAAAACATCAAAATTCTAAAAGCAGATAAAGGCAATGACATTGTAATAATGAACACAATGAGTAGATTCATAAAATGAATGACATCCATCAGATACAACCAAATTTAAGCTAATGCTCACAAATCCAACAAAAACACATGAAAATCAACTAAACAAAATGCTACTACAATTGTAAAAACTAACACAATCTCAGAAAACCTTTATTCCTACCTATGTAAGACCCACTCCAGCACACCACAACTGTACAGCACCCCCAAGCCTTACAAACCCAATTGTCCACTACGACCCATAATGTCGATCTTTGAATCATTTAACTACAACAACGCTAACTCCATACACGGCAATATTAAGTTCACCTGTGAATACGAAGAAGCTAAACAAATAGCATTTCTCAACCTCAAGATTACAAGAACCGATACACAATTCAAAACAGAAATCCACATAAAAATCACCCATACTGGACTATACATTCTCTGGGACTCAGCACATGAAACAAAACAAAGTTCAACATATTAAAAAACCAAATAAACACAGCCACAAAACTATGCTCACCTGATAAAATTAACGAGAAAATCAAACAATTAAAACAACACTTCCTCAACATCAATAAATTTCCTTCAAAAACTATCAAAAAAATCATACACACATACCAAGGCCAACAACACAATCAACAGCAAACAAACAGTAATAAATTCAATGAAACAACTAACTATAAAACCCTGCATTGTTGCATACCGTATGTTCCAGATATTAGTGACAAAACAATCAACATTTTGAAATTACTTGCAACCAAACATAACTTTCCAATAAACACTAAATTCATTCAAAAATGGGCACAAAACTAAACTCCATACTATGTAAAAATTACAGTGACAAACATAACACCAACATTATTTATAAAATACAATGCAACAACTGCCACGACTTCTATATTGGATAAACAAGCCAAAAAATGGAAACCAGATTAAACAAACACAGAAAAACACCTTCCCACATTTTTGAACACTGCAAAACAAATAAATACAACATAAAAATAGAAAACACCAACATATTAAGTAAAGAAACAAAGACAAACAAACGAAAAATTAAAGAATCCCTACTTATACAAGAACTCAAACCAAAATTGAACCAACGTAAGGTAACATCTTTATACCTATATTAATCACCTAACATCTAACTGCTACGCCCCTACAATCTCGTACCCGTTCACATTCTCGTCCCTAAAACATGTGCCCAGTAACGGTCAGTTTCAAACTGTCTTTGTTAACCTG